CACAAACAGATGTTTTTGGATTGGAAGAATCAATATTGTGAAAATGACTGTACTGACCAAAGAAATCTACATATTCAATGAAATCCCTATCAAATTACCAATAATTGGTAAAATAAATCATTTAGTCCATTTACATTTTTCACAGAATTGGAACAAAAATTTAAAATTTGTATGGAAACACAAAAGACCCCAAATAGCCAAAGCAATCTTGAGAATGAAAAACAGAGCTGGAGTAATTGGGTTCCCTGACCTCAGACTACACTATAAAGCAATAGCAATCAAAACAGTATGGTACTGGCACAAAAACAGAAATACAGATCAATGGAACAGGACAGAAAGTCCATAGACTAAACCCAGGCACTGACAGTCATCTAATCTATGACAAAGAGTCAAGAATACACAATGGAGGCAAGACAATTGCTTCAGTAAGTGATGCTGAGAAAACTGAATAGCTACATATAAATGCATGAAATTAGAACCAACCCTAATATCATAAACAAAAATAAACTCAAAATGGATTAAAGAGCTAAATGTGAGGCCAGATACTATAAAACTCCTAGAAAACCTAGGAAGAATTCTCTTTGACATAAATCTCAGTAAAATCTTTTTCAATCCACCTCCTTGAATAATGAAAATAAATACAAAAATAAACAAATGGGACCTAATTAAACTTAAAACCTTTTTCACAGCAAAGGAAACCATAATCAAAACAAAAGACAACTCTCAGATTGGGGGAAAAAACATTTGCAAACCAAGCAAGTGACATGGGATTAATCTCCAAAATAAACAAACAGCTCATGCAGGTCAATATTAAAAAAAAAAAAAATTACAGCCCAAACAACAAAACTAGGTGGATGATCTGAATAGACATTTCACTCAAGAAGATGTACAGATGGCCAAAAACACATAAAAAGATGCTCAACATCACTAATTATTAGAGAAACACAAATTAAAGCTACACTGAGGTATCACCTTAAATCAGTCAGAATGGCCATGATCAAAAAATTTATAAACAATAAATGTTAGAGAGGGTGTGAACAAAAGGGAGACCGCCTACACTGTTGTTGGGAATTTAAACAGGTACAGGCGCTATACAGAACAGGATGGAAGTTCCTTAAAAAACTAAAAACAGAGCTACCATACGATCCAGCCATCCCTCTCCTGGGCTATATCTGGAGAAAACCATAACTGGAAAAAATACATGCATCCCAATGTTCACTGAACTACTATTTACAAGAGCCAGAACCTGGAAGTAATCAAAATGTCCATCAACAAAGGAGTAAAGATGTGGTATGTATATATACAATGGAATGTTACTGAGCCATAAAATTAACAAAATAATTCCATTTGCAGCAACAGGGATGGACCTAGAGACTGTTATACTTAGTGAATTAAGTTGAACAGAGAAAGACAAATCTTATGTGATATCATTTGTGGAAGCGAAAAAAGAAAAGGTACAAATGAATTTACTTACAAAGCAGATATAGAGTCAAAGGTGTAGAAAACTAACTTATGGTTACCAAGGGGGTAAGGAGGGGAAGGGTAAATTGAGAGATTTTGATTGACATATACAAACCACTCTATATAAAATCAGTAACTAATAAGAACCTACTGTATGGCACTGGGAATTCTACTCAATACTCTGTAAAGGCCTATATGGGAAAAGACTCTAAAAAGAGTGGATATATGTATACACATAATTGATCCAGATTGCCATACAGCAGAAACTAACACAACATTCTGGAGCAGGAAATGATAACCCACTCCAGTATTCTTGCTTGGAGAATTCCATGGACAGAAGAGCCTGGTGGGCTGGAGTCCATAGGGTTACAAAATCAGACATGACTGAGCATGCATGCACAATGCAACACTGTAAATCAACTGTGTGTGCTAAGTTGCTCAATCATGTCTAACTGTTTGTGACCCATGGACTACAGCCTGTCATGGACTATGTCCATGGGGATTCTCCAGGTAAGAATACTGGAGTAGGTTGCCATGCCTTCCTCCAGGGTATCTTCTCAACCCAGGGATTGAACCTCACGACTCCCACATTACAGGCAGATTCTTTACCGTCTGAGCCAGTTAAAAAAAAAATAACACATTAGACCAGATGAACTTAATTGATATTTATAGAGAATTTCATCTGAAAGCAGAATAATACATATTCTTTTCAGGTGCATATGGAACCTTCTCCAGGATAGAACACATGCTAGCCACAAGACAAGTCTCAGGAGATTTAAGAAAACTGAAATCATATGAAATATCTTTTCTGATCACAATGCTATAAGGCTGGAAATCAACTACAAGAAAAAACAACTTCAAAAAACCAAACAAATAGAGGCTAAACAACATGTAACCAACATGTAACCAATGGATCACTGAAGAAATGAAAGAGAAAAAAATAGAGACAAAAGTTTTTCATTTGTAGAGACAAATGAAAATGAAAACAGGGTGATCAAAAATCTATCGGACACAGCAAAAGCAGTTCTACAACAGAAGTTAATAGCAGTATAATTTTACCTTAGGAAAATATGATATAAGTAAGTAGGAAAATCTCAAATGAACTACTTCACCTTACACCTCAAGCAACTACAGAAAAAAAGAATAAACAAAACCCGAAATTAGCAGAAGGAAAGAAATCATAAAGGTCAATGTAAAAATAAAAGAAATGGAGATGAAGAAAACAATAGAAAGGATTAGCGAAACTAAAAACTGGTTCTTTGAAAAGATCAAGTTGATAAGCCTTTAGCCAGACTCATCAAGGAAAAAATGAAGAGGTCTCATATCAATAAAATCAGAAACAAAAAAGGAGAAGCTACAACTGACATCACAGAAACACAAAAGCTCACAAGAGCAGACTACAAAAAAACATATCCCAATAAAATAGACAACCTAGAAGAAATGGAAAATTTCTCAGAAATGTACAATCTTCCATGATTGAACCAGGAAGAAACAGAGAAAGTGAACCACCAAATTACCAGTATTGAAATTAAATCCTTTATTTGAAAACTCTCAATAAACAAAAGTCCAGGACTAGGTGGCTTCACAGGTGAATTTGATCAAATACTTAAGAGTTAAAACCTATCCTCCTGAAACTCTTATAAAAAATTGCAGAGGAAGGAACACTTCTGAACACACCACCCTGACACCAAAACCAAACAAAGACATCACAAATAAGAGTACAGGAAAATATCACTGATGAATGTAGACCCTAAAATCCTCAACAAAATATTAGCAGTCTGAATCCAACAATACATTAAAAGGATCATACACCATGATCCAGTGGCATTTATTCCAAGGACACAAGGATTTTCAATTTTCACAAATCAATGTGATACACCAAATTAACTAATGGAAGACCAAAAACCATATGATCATGTATTAACAGATATATACATGGAATCTAGAGAAGTAGTACTAATGATCCTATTTTCAGGGAAGTTGCAGACATAGAGAACGGACTTGTGGACACAGCAGGGGAAGGAGATTGTAGGACCAATTGAGAAAGTAGCATTGACATATAAGATAGATAGCTAGTGGGAAACTGTTATATAACACAGGGAGCCCAGCTGGCACTTTATGATGACCTAGAGTAGTGGGATAGGAGGGGTGGGAGGCTTTCAAGGGAGGGGATATATATATACATACATACATACATATATATATATATGTACACACACACACACACATATATATATGTATATATATATATGTAATTATGGCCAGTTCTCATTTTTGTGCAGCAGAAACCAATACAAAACTGAAAACAATTACTCTCCAATTAAAACATAAAAAACCCATATGATCATTTCAACAAACACAGGAAAAGCTTTTGTCAAATTTCACCTTATTATACTATAAAGTATTTAATTTGGTAATATTTTTGAGATGCAATGCACATAACCTCTTAAATTGTTCAATTCAGTGTTTTTTAGCATATTCACAAAGTTTGTAATCATTACCACGATCATTTATGGAACACATCCATCATCTTGAAATATAAACCTCATACACTTTAACTATCCCCTCTCTGCTAATCACCGATACTAGCAGTCCTTGGCAACCACTGTTCTGGTTTCTGTCTCCATAGATTAGCCTATTATTACACTCTGTTGGATTTGACTTGCTAATATTGTTTTGAGCACTTCTGAATCTGTATTCATAATAGATAACTATTGTGTAGTGTTATTTTTTATTATGATTATGTCTTCATCTCTTCTGATATCTGGGCAATACTGGCCATATCAAAATAATATTGGCCATATAAAATTAATTTTTCAAATGTTTGGCAAACATTCAACTGTGAGACCATATCAGCTTGGACTTTTGGTTGTTGCTGGTGAGTTTTTTGTTCCTAATTAAAACCTTTCACTTGTTATATGACTATTCGGATTCTATATATATATATATATATTTTTTTTTTCTGAATTCAGCTTTGTTAGTTTTTGTTTTTCCAAGAATTTGTACATTTATCCTGTTTTTTATTTTCACATGGTTTTCATTGTCCCTTTAATATTATTAGAGTCAAAAGGAGTATCTGCTCTTTTCTCTTTCTTTGCATTGAATCTTCACTTATTTTCTCTGTCAACATAATGAAATCTTTGTCATTTTGTTGATCTCTTTAAATGACCAATTTTTGGCTTTATTGATTTTTATATTGTTTTTCTATTTCATTAATTTTTGCTATAATCTTTTTGTTATTTTCTTTTGGACATAGGCTTCATTTTTTAAAATTAATTTCTTAAGTTGAAGGGTTATTGATCTCTTAACATAGACCTTTCTAGTTATAAAAATCCCTTAAGCATTATTTTTACTGAAACTCATAAGTTTTGGCATGTTGTGTCTTTAATTTCATTAAAAGTAATTTATAGTTTCTCATTTCTTTTTTGGCATGTTAGTTATTTAGGAGTGTGCTATTTTAATTTTCACATTTATGAGTTTCCTCCATTTCTTTCTATTATTGACTTAAATTCAATTCCACTTTGGTTATAAGATCATAAACCTTTATTTTTTTGGAACTAAATACATATCAATAGAAAACAAAATACAAAAAACTCTCTTCAGGAAACAGAATTATTTAATCCAACAAATCAGAAGTTGCTTCATCTTCAAAGTGCAGTTTTTGATGTGGGTGTTCACACTTAAGATATGTTTCACAGACTGTTCATTAAACATCTATTGCAAAGCAGGAGGTAGAAGGGACCATCTCAGGAGAAAAAGACATTGGAAAAGCCACACCTCAGAATCATCTGGAAATTCAACACTTTCTATCTTACCACTTTTCACTTCCAATTACTTTCATTTCTTTACCACAATCTGCCCTTTCAGGGGACAGAACTGTTAATAGAGGTGCAATCCCCATAATAATCATTCTTTTCCATCATGGACACAAGAGCCCAAGACTTCCTCCATGAAATCCACATACCCATTTCTAGAAACGTCAGCTGGAATGATCCGTCTGTCACCCAGAAGTTTCTCCTTTCTCCCAACAGACTGTGCAACCAAGTTCTCTGAATCCCCTGAACCTCAAAATTCCAAGTATCACAACCAGGAGAAAAACCTGAAAGATGAGAGCAGAGAAGTGTCTCTGCCAGTGCTAGGTTTCTTCTTCTCAACAATAAAAAATCCCAGCTCTCTGCAATCACAGAAAAGGAAAGACATTTGCCAGCAGGACCCTGCCCATTTGCTAATTCCCACCCCCGCATTCTTGCCCTAATAGAGTCCCCTCCACTCAATGACCCTGCAGCACTGGTCCTACGGAGGGCGCCCAGGAAACATCCTCCTGTTGAGTGCAGCCCCAGTGAAGCAAGGCTGCCTTGGCGCCAGAGACTGGAAAGAGCCACAGGAGGACACAGCGGTATCTCTGTGATTCCAGATTTCATGTTCATTCTCATCACCACCCTTCCTTCCCCTGTCCTTCCACACTGGGGAAGGACTGAGAAGAGGGTGGTGGGCTCAGGAGATCTGTGGGTCTTTCACAGTCAGGCAGTGATTCCATCCGTCTGTCCTAAGACTTCCAGTCTTGTGCCCTTTGCATGCACCAGCCCATGACATCAAATATACAAATCAAGGTTCCTCATTTTCTTGTGTGATTCCGGTCACCAGCAGGAGGTTGCAGGCCATGAACTGCACGCTCAGCACTTTGCTCATCTGGCGGGTGAAGACGCCCAGGAGCTCTCTGGATGAGCCGTCTGCGGGCGTGCAGCTGTGCGTGCTCTTGATGTCCCAGACACGCACTGAGTTGTCCATGGATGCTGACGCGATCAGGCTGCTGTCCGGGCTGAAGGTGAGGCTGGTGATGCTGTCCGTGTGGCCCTGCAGCTCTTTGTAGAGGGTCCCGGACGCCAGGTCCCACAGCTTCAGCCGCCGGTCCTCGCCTGCAGACACTAGGTACTTACCGTTGGGGGAAAAGGCCAGGGAGCGCACGGTGCCGTGGTGGCCGGTGAAGAGCCTCACCAAGTTCCCCTGCTGGGTGCTCCACAGCCGCACCGTCTTGTCTGTCGAGCCCGTGGCTAAATAGTTTGAATTGGGGTGGAACCTGATGCAGTCCACGTCTGCCACGTGCCCGGCGTAGATTCGCAGAGGATACGTCCGATCAAATGACCAGAGGCGGGCCGTGCGGTCGTGGCACCCGCTGGCGAAGTACAGGCTGTGCGGGCTGATGTCCAGGTCCCACACGGGGTAGGCGTGGCCCTGGTACCGCACGGTATTGGTGAAGCTGCCCAGGTCCCAGTACCTGATGGACGTGTCTTCAGAGCAGGAGAGCAGCGCAGAGCTGTCCGGGAGGAACCTGGTGCCGTACACTGGCCCGCAGTGTCCCCGCAGGACTTTCATCTCCAGACCTGCACTGTCATCCTCGTCCTCCTCCGGGACATCACGAGCCAAGTGGATGTGAGACGCGTCGACTTGACGCGGTTCGGAGTTTAAGTTCTTGGAACGCGGACTCCACACTTTTATACAGGAGTTGTCGAATCCCGCGGCAAGCAGCCTCCTGTCCGGGGAGACCTCTGCCGTGTTCAGCAGCTGCTCCGTGTTGTAGAAAGCGTAGAGGCAGATGGTGGTGAGGGACGGGGGGCCATCCCGAACGCGCTTGATGCTTTCCTGCAGGGCCTTCAGCGCCTCCTCGTTCTGCAGGACGGGTCTCGGCATGTCAGGGGGCTCGAGGCTGCTGCCCTCGCCACCGGAGGGGACACCGCTGGCACAGAGCTGAAAGTCCATCTTCTCGGCGGGCCGCACGTCCAGGTATGACACGCCAGGCGAGGACTCTGCCAGGCGTGGACTCTGCCAGGCGTGGACTCTGTCAGGCGTGGCGTCGTTCCTCCGGAGGAAGCTGCGAAAGGAGTTGCAGCTTGTCTTCCGGTCGACAGATCACGTATTTGTCGTCCAGGAAGGCACGTAGCCGGAAGTTACACGTAAACAGGATATCCTGCCTGGTGCGCGTGATCCGCAGCTGCTCGACGACATTATCGGCGCTGGGTTCTCCACTTCACGGCTCTGCTGGGAGTCAGAGTCGGTGAGAAAATTACACAGCCTTCGTAACTGTACTTCATATTGCTGGGTCTCTCCCTGGCAAGAGGCTACAGACACTGTGAAGTCACAACCAGATTCTGATGGGGCTGCGAGACTGGCTGCCATCTCCTGGGCATTCTGCAACCGGCGCAGCCCCTGCTTCAGCCGGCAGGGCACATCCTTGACCGCCGACGTTTGAGGTAACAGGACGCGGCCGTCTGGATCTGCTCCGTGAGCACTCGTGTCATGACTGAACATCCCAGGCGGTTCCTGCTTCCCCCACTGCCACTGCCGCCACTACCAGGGTTTCGCAATGCCCCATGCCCCTCAGCCCCCGTGGGGTTTCCGGGGCAGCCGAGAGATGACTGACTGAGGTGACTGGCTGACTCGGAGCCACCTTGGGCTGAGCCAGGCCCTCACAGACATTTATAGTCTTAATTTCTATTAAATATATTGAAATTTGTTCTGTGGCGTATCCTGGAGAATTCTCTTTGTGCACTTGAAAAGAGTATATATTCTACTGTTTTAAGTGTTCTATAGAGCTCTGTTAGTTCAATTTAGTTTACAGTGCTTTGAAGCCTTGTATTTCCTCTTTATCATCTTACTGTGATGTTTCTCTATATCTTTGCGTTTATCCTACTTAGAGTCCTTTAAGCTTCATGGACGTGTGGATTAAAATTTTTCATCAGGTTTAGACATTTCAATTATTATTTCTTTAAATATTTCCCCCCATTTTCTATTCTTTTTTTGTTACAGTTTTTGTTTTAAAGAAAGTCTGTTTTGTTTGCTATGACTATTGCTACCCCAACTTTCCATTTCCCTGGAATGTATTTTTCCATCCCATCATTCTCACACTTTTTATTTGTGTCTTTAAATCATGTGAGTCATGTGTAGGCAGTATTTAGATAGGTCTTTTTCTGGCCATTAAGCTACCTTGTGTCCTTTGATTGGTGCATTTAGTCTATTTATATTTAAATAGGTCTGTATTTATTGCTACATTGCTAATTGTTTTGCATACATTGGTGAGCCTACTGATTTTCCACATTTCTCTGCACTTTTTTATTTTTTATTTTTTTCTATTACTCAGATTTCATAAACTCTATTGATTTATTTTCAAGTTCACTGATTCTTTATTCTGCCAATTCAAATCTTCTAGTAGATCCCTGTGAGGAATGTTTCTTCTGGTTGTATTTTTCAGCTCCAAATTGCTGTGGTTTTTACATTATTTCTGTGCTGTGCTGTGCTTAGTCTCCCAGTTGTGCCCTACTCTTTTTGATCCCATGGAGTGTAGCCCTCCAGGCACGTCTCTCCATGGGCATTCTCCAGGCAAGAATACCTAACTGGGTTGCCATGCCCTCCTCCAGGGGATCTTACTAACCCAGGGATCGAACCCAGGTCTCCTGCATTGCATACAGATTCTTTTACCATCTGAGCCACCCGGGAAGCCCAAGATACTGGAATATGTAGCCTATCCCTTCTCCAGGTCATCTTCCCAACCCAGGATCGAACCATGGTCTTCTGCGTTGCAGGCGGATTCTTTACCAGCTGAGCTACCAGGGAAGCCCACATTATTTCTATTTCTGTATTAATATTTTCCTTTGCTGCAATATTATCGTCACATCTTTTTTTACTTCTTTTAGCATCATTCTCTTTAGTTTGTGAGATATATTTATAATGACCATATTGAAGTTTTTGTCTGTTACAGCTGACATCTGGTTGATCTCACAGAGTATTTTTCGATTGTTTAGTTGCTTTTTTCTGTGTACGTGTGAGAACTTCCTATTTATTTGCATGATATACCTATAACTACATCTGTACCTATCTATATACATCTCATATTGATAAAATTGCTTTAGTATAACATTGACACAGTTTCTACATTTTTAATATCCAGTCCCCCCAAATATATATATCAAATGTGTATATATATATACACACACACACACACATATACACACACACACACACACACACACACACACACACACATATATAAGCTTCCCAGGTGGTAATGAACCCTCCTGCCAATGCAGGAGACATAAGAGTTACGAATTCAATCCCTGTGTTGGGAAGATCCCCTGGAGAAGGGCATGGCAACCCTCTCCATTATTTTTGCCTGGAGAATCCCATGGACAGAGAAGCCTGGTGAGCTACAGTCCATGGGGTCACACAGAGTTGGACACACTGATTGAAGCAACTTAGCGCATATATATTTATAAATGTATATGTGTGTGTGTGTGTGTACATTTGATATATATTTTGGGGGGACTGGATATTAAAAAAGGTAGCAATTGTGTCAGTGTTCTACTATAGAAATTTTATCAACTTATATTTAATGTTGTAGAAACTTTGGATAGTCCCCTTTCTACTCTCCAGGACTTGTTTTTGCTGTTTGTTCCTTACTTTTTTTTAGTGATTAGCAAGATTATTTAGCAAAGTTTATTTCACCCCCATAATGTGAGCCACTGTCATTGCCACATGAAGGTGAAGGCTTCGTGAGCACTGTCATCCTGGGATGATGATTTTTGTTTGTTTGTTGTAATAACATCTAGCTGTTAAGCTCCACTAATTTCTGGCTTATTTCTCCATCATCAACAATGACCTGAGACATAAATTTCTTACAGAGTGATTCAATGAAATTCATGCTCCTTTACAAGGACAGTTTTTAAGGTCTTCATTCGAAATTGTTTTGGTCTCTTTCCTGATTTTTTTATTTTATTTTTCTGGAAAATTAGTCAAATAATAGTACACCTTATATTTCTAAGGAATCTACCAGTTTCCTTTTAATTACTTTTCATCATACTTTCCAATGTTTTGAAAATTCCCTTGGGTTCACTTCCCCACACTCTGTTTCAATTAAGTCAGTTTCTTGGGAAGAGATTCAGAGCTTTCTGTTTTATGGACTGCATTTACCCTGAGGCAAAAATATCTGAGTTAGGGCTCTGAAATTGGGGGTGGGGACAAAGATATATTTCTCTCTGAGAGATACTCATTATAAAGTAGGCATTCAACTGGGGATGAAGGGGTGTAGATCAGGTTATAACCTCTTGTTTCTCCACTTGCTTCTTAAAAAGCAGGACAAGCAAACTGAAGTATGGTTGATCTGGGCCCCAGTATTCTTCACTTAAAATAGAGCCTCCATCTTGTTACAGCTGACATCTGGTTGATCTCACAGAGTATTTTTCGATTGTTTAGTTGCTTTTTTCTGTGTACGTGTGAGAACTTCCTATTTATTTGCATGATATACCTATAACTACATCTGTACCTATCTATATACATCTCATATTGATAAAATTGCTTTAGTATAACATTGACACAGTTTCTACATTTTTAATATCCAGTCCCCCCAAATATATATATCAAATGTGTATATATATATACACACACACACACACATATACACACACACACACACACACACACACACACACACACATATATAAGCTTCCCAGGTGGTAATGAACCCTCCTGCCAATGCAGGAGACATAAGAGTTACGAATTCAATCCCTGTGTTGGGAAGATCCCCTGGAGAAGGGCATGGCAACCCTCTCCATTATTTTTGCCTGGAGAATCCCATGGACAGAGAAGCCTGGTGAGCTACAGTCCATGGGGTCACACAGAGTTGGACACACTGATTGAAGCAACTTAGCGCATATATATTTATAAATGTATATGTGTGTGTGTGTGTGTACATTTGATATATATTTTGGGGGGACTGGATATTAAAAAAGGTAGCAATTGTGTCAGTGTTCTACTATAGAAATTTTATCAACTTATATTTAATGTTGTAGAAACTTTGGATAGTCCCCTTTCTACTCTCCAGGACTTGTTTTTGCTGTTTGTTCCTTACTTTTTTTTAGTGATTAGCAAGATTATTTAGCAAAGTTTATTTCACCCCCATAATGTGAGCCACTGTCATTGCCACATGAAGGTGAAGGCTTCGTGAGCACTGTCATCCTGGGATGATGATTTTTGTTTGTTTGTTGTAATAACATCTAGCTGTTAAGCTCCACTAATTTCTGGCTTATTTCTCCATCATCAACAATGACCTGAGACATAAATTTCTTACAGAGTGATTCAATGAAATTCATGCTCCTTTACAAGGACAGTTTTTAAGGTCTTCATTCGAAATTGTTTTGGTCTCTTTCCCTGATTTTTTTATTTTATTTTTCTGGAAAATTAGTCAAATAATAGTACACCTTATATTTCTAAGGAATCTACCAGTTTCCTTTTAATTACTTTTCATCATACTTTCCAATGTTTTGAAAATTCCCTTGGGTTCACTTCCCCACACTCTGTTTCAATTAAGTCAGTTTCTTGGGAAGAGATTCAGAGCTTTCTGTTTTATGGACTGCATTTACCCTGAGGCAAAAATATCTGAGTTAGGGCTCTGAAATTGGGGGTGGGGACAAAGATATATTTCTCTCTGAGAGATACTCATTATAAAGTAGGCATTCAACTGGGGATGAAGGGGTGTAGATCAGGTTATAACCTCTTGTTTCTCCACTTGCTTCTTAAAAAGCAGGACAAGCAAACTGAAGTATGGTTGATCTGGGCCCCAGTATTCTTCACTTAAAATAGAGCCTCCATCCCAAGAGGAGAGACTGGACTTAAGAACTGACTCCTGACTGAATTCCCCTGGAACATAATGTCTGCAACAGGTAACTGAAGCATGATTAGAAATGTTAATGCCCTCTCCTGGAAAGATACTGTAGCCCTTTAACTGAGAGCTGTTGAAAAGAAATCCTTCCACATGCACGGATCTGGAGTGGAATTTCCAAAGCACTGAGCCAGCTGGCCATGGTTCAAATGCCCCAGACTCACTTAAAACGTTTTAGTTTTAGTAGACTTTCTCAATTAAACGTATTTTCACTTTCTGTATATCTTTAGGGTCATTTTCTGAGAGTCTAAACTGACATTGTTATAATTTTTACTAGTTTTATTTGGGAGTTGGTCTGTGTTACTCCTTATGGCACTATAATAGAAGTTCATCTATCAGGGCTTTTTAAAATTGGTCTCCTGAGGTATCTTGGAGACCTTGTGGGAGATAGAAGCCTCTTATTCTGGTTTTTACTTCAGAAGATCCAACAAAACCTAGGACTTCAATTGAGCCCAGTTGTGTATGGGCTTCAGTAGCTTGTTTGTTTTAGGGAAGTTGGAAGTGAAAGGAGAGGAGATCATGTTTATGTCACAGAGTTTCAGAATCTTGCTCCCCTTTTTTCTCTGAAATAGCTTCACTGTGTAGAAGAACAAAATACCCAACAGTTTATTAGTGTAAGCAAACTTTTCCAAAAATGTTTAGTTTGTTCTATTAAAATTGGTACCATGGTAAGGAGTAAAATCCAACTCATTATCTTCAGACCCTATG